TCACTGCCTTCTCGTGGCATCACTGTTGTTTACGAAAATGAGAGGACGAAAAGCGAATGTTCGGCGCTTTAACCGGATCCCAAACCAATGGTGCACATGGGCTCCAGTATCCTTAGGGAACGAATGGCATATGAGCCAATCGTTGGTCACCTGCTACCATGGGACTGCATCTCCTCATGATGCTCCACTGCCTTGTGGATCAGACCTTTAGGTCAAAAGCTCGGGGTGTGGCCCTCTAAGAAAACCACCTGCTTCGGTCTGGGCCTCCGAGATGAATCACAGCCCACACACAATTATAATGAAAATGATGATATTAACTTAAAATTCTCTTCTCGCTTCGACTCGCAGTCGACCAATTTATATTATAATTATTTACTACGTCTTCATTCACCCTCTTTTATTCCTGCTCTGTCGATACTTATTTTTCGACCTATACAGCAGCTCGCCTATGGTGGAAACTCGGTTCTATCTAAACGTTCTCGAGTCACTGCCTGGTTGAAAATTATATGCTACCACCAAATACGAATACTGAAGCAGTTCTTCTGAAACTACGTGCACCATTCAAACTGGCTGCCTTCAACGTTCGCACACTTATGCAGGTCGGACAACAGATAGGAAAGTTTCGATAATGATATTAGAAGACGAAGATTATCGAAATTTATCAAAGGGACTAATTGTTTTAAAGATAGGAAAGTCTTAATATCGACGTTTGTTGTCTATCTGAGACCCGTATTCAAGACTCTGGTGAAGTACTACAAATTTGCTCTCCATCTGTCGTTTCGAAAAGCTTGTTTTAAATGTGTTTATCCGGGGACCCTGTGGCATCTTCGCCTGGTCTTGCTGGCGTTGGTGTCGCACTAAGCGCTAGAGCTGAGACAGCACTGATCGATTGGATCCCCATTAACAGTCAGCCATGTGCTGTTAGATTAGTGAATTCCATCAAATTGAGAAGAAATCGGCGTGAGAAACGATATCTTTTCGTCATCTCCGTCATGGAATGAGTCGATAGTTGTCCCTGTCTAATCCTGTACTCACCCTGGATGGTGAGCAGATAGAAGTAGTCGAGAAGTTCGCGTATCTAGGTAGCTGCGTAAGTGCTGGTGGTGGCGTGAGTGATGAGATCAATGCACGTATAGTGAAAACCAGAGCGGCTTATGCCAATCTGGGCCATCTTTGGCGCCTTCTTGATGTCAGTCTGGCTGTAAAAGGTCGGAGAGAGCAGTTTTTCTCTATGCTTGTGAAACCTGGCTTCTCTGAGTTGAGGATGTTAGACGACTCTCTGTGCCTGATCATCGTTATCTCCGAAGGATTGCTGACATCCGGTGGCAACACCATGTCAGTAATGTAGAGGTTCGGCCTCGTGTATTCGGGTGCAGAGACGACGATGCAATTGGTGTCATCATCTTGAAGCACCGACTTCAGTGGCTTGGACATGTCCTACGAATGTCGCACCAGAGAATTCCACGTCGTGCATTATTTTCCGACGCCGGGACTGGTTGGAAAGAGCGGAGAGGTCGTCAGTGTATGACATGGTGTCGAGGTATGGAAGAAATCTCCAAAGGGCTGGCTTGTGTTGGTCCTTCACGGCTCCCCGACTGGGGTCCGATAAATGGTGCGGCACAGTGGCTAGAGACGTTATCAGATATGGCTCAGAATAGAAGCCAGCGGCGATTCTGCTGTAACCTTCTTTTACTTTCTTCATAAAAAGTGGTGTCACCATCTTGAAGCACCGACATCGGTGGCTTGGTCAATGTTATATCTTGGTTTCCATTTATGGAACAATACTATGATTATATTTTTATCGTATAATTTTTATGTATCTAAACTGTTTTTATTGATGTCCCTCTCATTGTGAGATTTATTTTGACCTATGAACTATTATTATACGATTTACCATTCGTGAGTGATCGCCAGTCCATTAATTACTATCTCCCTCATTCAAAGCCATTTTGGTCAAATGCTGTACAAATGTTATTTTCTATTTTATGGTACGTTGTGGTCGGTTTGATTGGCATATAAATTCGTATGGTTTGACATAAATGATTCATATTGCAGGGGCTGAGATTGGTGTTCTGAACTTAACTGGCTGGGCTAGACAGGAAGCGCGACCAATCAGGTCTCTAGGCTGCTCGCATGTGTTTTACGCGTCACTAGTTCGATCGATAATTCGCTGCTCTCTGATTGGTGGGATCGTTGCGTTGTCCAATATACAGGGCACACAGGATCACAAGTTATAACAGACATGTTCTACGAATGTCGCCCCAGAGAATTCCACTTTCTTCATAAAAAACGGTTGTATCTTCCTTAACTGAGAGATTTCTTCTGGCTGTACCTTTCCGTTTGCCCCATTATTGTTATTATTATTATTATCACACTACCTTACACTAACCTGTTTGTTATTGTTATTTCGTTTTCTCTTCGAATTCCCATTGTTTTGCATGGCGCATATATGTTTGGTGCCCTCTTGTAACAATATTTATGTGTTCAAATAAAATAATATAGATGATAACCTCGCTGTTATCTGATAACCGGCCTAAGACGACACGACGTTGAAAAGCTATAAAGTTTCCAGCAAACACGGATGATTTCCATTTGCTAGGAACTCGTAGTTAACCCATTTTTATCCCCTGTTTCGTTCCTAATAGTAATTTTCTGGGATTTTAGATTTTGTATTATATCAAAAATGAAAATCGAGACGGTTTACCTAGATCGCGTTCACCGAGTCGGTTAAGCTTTATAGTACTGACGTGACACCAGGTCATGTATCATGTCACTGGTTTATCATGACTAGGCACTATGCAACTCCCAAAATTCGATTTCTTTCCACGAGGGTGGATATTGATGCCTGATAGTCATTTACTGAATTCACACTGGTGGGGCTTTGATTATCAGTTGTATTATTGCTATGGCGGGATAAGAAGTCAAAATCAAACTTCTACTCGTCATGATTTTCGGTTAATATTACTTTTTTAATTCAGTGTGATGATTGATTGGAGTAATATTTATTTCATTTTCCAGTGTGACATCTTATTCAATATAGCATTAATTTACATTTGTGCGATGTGTATTGAAGATCCGATATTCTCGTATTAAAGTAATGTGAACTATGTCCATCATGACGTGCAGCGTGTGATTTGTTTTAAATCTTGGTATTTTTTTATATATATGATGGTATTCCAATTAATAATTGGAATGGGTGTACAACCAATATATAATGAGTGTATTTTCTACTCGGGTCGTCATGTTTTGAGGTCAACAAATGTTCACTTGTACCAGTCTAACTGTTCTTAATTCGCGTCGTGGTATTTGCAATTATACCCCGTTCTTAGGTACAAGTATTAGTTTTGTAGTTGTATCGGTTCCTGACCACATGATTTTTGAAGCTAGCAATGTAATTATTTAAAAAATTAATATTCAACGAGTAACACTTGGAGGAGATCAAAAGTGGTAATCTCGGAAAGTATTGATCGGTGCGGCATAACTCATCCTTGCGGGCGTTGTCACACTGTGTAAATTGCCCCTACTCACATTAAACATATTATTTTATCACCAGTCGAAATATGTTCTGTGGAAGTAATAAATGTCATAGGGCTGATTATCAAGTAGGACGAGTCAATAGAGATAATGTGACTTCTGCGTAAGATCTTGTATATTAGGTGTTTAGGCCGTGACAAATCTATAATTTTAGGATTAGGTCTATTATTACAGTGAAAGATAAATGTACTGATACAAAAGCAGACCATAAATTTGCACTTTCTCATTGGAAGTACACGCACGACGTTTTACTACATTTTCTGAGTACTTTCGCGATGGCAAATGATGTGAGCCGATTAAGTGTAGGGCCTAGTCGATTCGGTGCATTTTACGTAGGGCAACTTCCCCTCTTTTCCTAATGATATCCTGAGATTTCAACTACATTTATTTGTGCGGTGAGTCATCTCGTCTCATATAATGTTCAGTTTATCGGTTGAGAGTCTCAAAAAAGACCTCTTAAGCTGTAGGAAGGAAACTTGCAGATCTGATTGTAACTAGACTTTTAAACCCCTTCTATCATCCAGATATATCTTAAAATCGATTGGCCATAGGGTACTGCTATGAGCCGCGATATCAGACGATAGCGTTAAACACTATATCTGTGACATCTTCACAGATATCATTGCTTTTGCTACGGATCTGCGTTACTTCTGAACCACATGTTGAGTCGAAAAGCCCCAAAAATTAAGGAGCAGAAATTCTGCCCAGCTCTGTGTCTTCTTAATCTGCACCCATTTGTAGAAGTTCATCTGATAAACAATCGGCTTGTCATATCGGTTACCACTGTGCTTAATTATTTATCTTTACCTTAAGTATCCACCCGGTAGAGTGGTAGTTGAATAACTGAGCCTTAGTAAGCTAAATTCAAACAATGCTCAATCTATATCCAAGATTCTGTTGGGTGAGAACAATTGAAGTGTCAGACTTGTAACTAATTTAGTCTCACGCCCAACAACTCAATTGTAAATTAAAACGTGCCCTAATTTCTTTCATGGATAATTGCTTACTAGTACTTATTATTATTACCATAGTATGTAAACACATCCCGTATTCTTACTGGGTTACGTTTATTTTCGTACCTCGCTCTTCCAAGATCAGTATGCTCAAGCTAATTATGAGCAAATAGAAATTACACCCTTTCTTATCTAGGATGACTTCACAGATTTTGACCAAACAAGAGGATGCACCTATCGAGTTACGGTAAAACATGTTCATTGAACTCTCATTTATTCTTTGATAATTCCAGTTATATGACATCATCGCTCTTGGTCATAACATATTCCTATAATTCAGCATTCAGAGTCAGTTATTGAACTTTTTGATTCAGCCACGTAGTTGCATTGTGGTTTTTGTTTGACTGCTCTAAAGCTACTCTGAAGATGTTCGTACAACCTTGTTAACGGACTTAAATGGCCTCGATTTCATGTCAGCAGGTAAAATAGTACCTATCAAGAAACATTATCCCAATGTCATCTCAAAATTTTTTGAAATTTGGTGTGGAGTTTGAGGGGAGTGGTCAGCTCTTCACCTTTGAGTGTGTAAGACAAAGTAGTCATAATAATGGATTTTTCCTTAGCCAGCTGTGTACGATGATATTATTTACAAGGTTTCGCAGCAGTACGTGATGCTATCCTTCTTTACGAATTTCACAGGTTTGGTATACCTCAATCCGAAACCTCCAATTACTGTTTCCGTAAAACAGAACACTCGGGTATAATTGAATATTATACGACTGAAGAGGTTAGCAAAACGTTTCATTAATTCGTTCTTGACAGAACTGTCGTATTAGGACTGGAGATGTTGTTCAACTAGTTGAAATTCCAGTGAGTTCCTAACAAGTGTTCTTCATTGATAAAATTTGCAACAATATAACCTTAACATGGATGTAGATTTTAGCTATGCAGCTATACGACCTTGATTTTCAGTATTAGCAGCGTTAAGCAGCAACGTTTTCCACCTATACTCAAGAAATTGGGTCTTTTTACTTAAAGACATAAAGCAATAAGTAATTATTATTACTACAGTGGTTTCCTCAAAATGGGTCAAATTTTCCCCAAAATTAGGAGCTCGGATTGTGAAAGAATCACTATTGAATATCGGAAATGTCTAATTACATGGACGTTTAAAATATGCAATAAATCAATTATAGTATCTTATATTTGGTGTCGAAGATATACGCTTCATATATTTGAAAAATCAAGTATCCTCGAGGTGGGAAAACGTACTTAATAGCAGTTACACTGATCGTCTTAAATATTACTAGATGACCTAGTTTTTCATAATTATTAAGTATCATACTTGCGTTTTGTTTAAGGTCCTATCCATCCGCCTAGGCTGAAATCATGTTATCCTACGGGACCACTCTTTGAACCTTTAAGCCAAAGATTTAATCCATAAAATGTAAAACATGGTACCACAAGATGAAGAAAGGCGATCTGAATTTTTCAACTGCTCCTCGCAGGAGAGATTAGGAAAATTTCCAACCAGCTTAGTGCCTGTTTTTTGTTCACTTTGTATTTTCATCGTCTATAATTAGAAGTGAACTGACTGCAGGGATGCTGTATTCTAGATGAGGCATCATATGAGTGCGTTATAAAAGTCGAAACTTATCTTGTTTAAAGCATTTGAAGGCTATGTGATGCAATCATAACACGCAAAACCCTTTAACAGATGTTACATTGCAATGTTTACTGATAAAATAATTTGTAGTAAAAAATCAAAACTATAATGAATACTGTTCTGACATGTTTGTCATACATTTCCATATTGTCATCTATTATGGTGAACGATGAATGATTGAAACTAAGATTCAGGGTTAACGGTATTAGGGCAAGGGTTTAGGGTTAGAGCAAAGGGCTAAAGTAAGCAATCATGGTTACCAATTAGCTATAGGAATTTAGTTAAGAGTAGGAGAGTGATTTGCATTATTGATGTTCATACATATGCAGATAGTTATTTGAATATAAGTCTTAACTGCTTACAAGTTAGCTGGAAAAATGCTTGTCATGCTGAGATTCTGTGGGTGTTTTAGTTTTATTAGATCCTGCTAATTTTCCTTCTAAATATCATTCACTTCTCTGTTGTTGTCCCAAAAACCACTCGATGTTGTTTCTGATTATTGGTTTTGTAATTTCTATTAACGTAGGCGTCTTAGTAGCTAATTATGGGTAGATATTAATGTATTTTCAGTTAGCTCTTATTAAGTTACAAGCTATCTGTAGAGCAGCCTGACAGCAATATCTTGAACAAATCCTGTTACTCTAGAGCCAACAGATTGCGATTCCTTATAACTAGGCAACTGATCGTGAGTCCTTTTTTCATCACCTTTATAAGTACAATAAGTAGGCCCATAAGTCGTTAGTTTGACACGGGCTGTCTACTTCCATTATGGGAACAATATAGCTAGCGACATTGTCTTTTTAATACCTTTGGAGTTAATGTCAGATTCAATAAAATGGCACACCCAAACTCTATTTGAGTCAGAAGACTGTTTTGATTACTCAGAGACATTTATATGAACCAGTACTATCGCCAGAGATACTCTTGGTTCTCCCGTTGCTGCTTCATCTTTACTCGTACGTCGATATTCTGAAAAGTGATTAGTACCAACATCAGGATCAGGCTGGCAAACGTCATTAGTTTCATGTAACATTGTTTGATGTCACCTGAAAAAGCGTTCGATTGTACATACTCTTTGAAGTCAAAAACTTTTAGCCATACATTTAGCTTTTATATGCAATTGATACAACTTTCTGTCTCCAAGTGTTGTCAATCTTTCCCGAATTTTTATTGCATGCAGTGTTGCACACTGGTCAGGATAGCGGTTTCACTGTTGATATGGTAGAGGACGAGAAGTCAAGTGGGGATAAGCAATTTATGGTTTAGTACACAATCACAGTGGTTTAGGAAAATGTGAAAATCATACATCAAATACATCTCATTTACACATCTTTTTTGGATTGTTTTTTACCAGCTTCATTGTTTCTTCACTCCTGTTGTTATCTTGATTGCTTTCAGTTTCCTCCTCTCTTCTCGTTTCAATCTTTGCCTTCCGCTGTCAGGCATTCCAATTATTATTGATGTTATATGCTATTTATGTCGACAGGCATTAGTATAAAACCACATTGGCTATTAACAGAAACATACTGAGAAGCGAAAATATTTTTCTTTATACCGAATGATGTTTGAGTTAAAAAACTTATAACTTGTTTACCTGATTTCAAGCTTATAGCTAATTTTCTGTATCTTGTAATTACGATATCCACTCATTCTTCTACAAACTTAGCTAGATCTAAATTAAATTCCCTGCCTTGACTCATGTACTATACGCATAATACTGTGCACTCAAATCTAAAGTTCGAAGGTAAACGTGAGATTATAGTTTTTAGAGTTCTGTTAGCATTCAGATCAGATTTGTAGCCTGGTTGTTATAACTTGGTTCTGCATGCTTGCATTTTCTGTCCTAAATCAGAAAGTCATCAAATCACCGCTTCTAATCGGTGGTCTTTTTACTATTTCTTCTGTTAAGGACCTAATGATTATGTGGTTTTGTTCAGATCTTTTTTTTAATATATCCAGTTAACCCAAAACCCTTTGAATTCGTCCATTATGACTTAGTTCTTCCAGTACTAAGCTGAGTTAGATAATCAAGTTTATCAAAATCTCCCTTCGTCGTTTCTTTAACAGCTTTCTGAAATCCTTTCATGGAGGGCCAGTATTCAGTTTGATTGCCGTCAAACTTCCGTACTTCTTATATAACCCTAAATAACTTTCAACGCGGTCTGGTACTGCCTTTGACATAGGTTCATCATATATTTTAATTATACTATTATTATAAGAGTCAGGATGATTTCCTTCGTGTTGAAGTTTCTTCAGCGAATTCCGTTTCCCAAGTTCTCCCCTTAGCTTGTTTAATCCCAGTTCTAATTGCTTTTATTTTTGTACAATTTTCCACTTAAGAATTTTCCTTTTCTGACTGCATGGATAATTCTGGCGTTTCATCGTAATTTTGTTACTGAGGCAAATTAAATAACTGTCAGGTTCACTAGGATAACATACCTGAGGTATATATGAGTCAGAAAATTGTTTTGGTTACTCTGAAACGTTTACAGAAATATATACATAAATATAAATATTGCGACAATAAATCATAATTAACGTAAGTTGGGCGTACATTCAAGGTAATAAAAAACAACAGCAGTCAATTACAAAGAAGTTATACTTAACTATGGCAGGTTCAAAATAGCCGTTCAAGCAAAATGCATTTCAACCAATAAGAGTGTAGTCAGTTTGTGGATAATCAATTTAACGGACGAGGTACAAGAAAAAGAGGGTTAACACTGATTACTAATAAGTAATATAGTCATAAAACAAGAATCTCAGCTGAGTTTCAGGTGTACGGCTGTTGACGTACTTTGTTAGTATCTGCAAAGTAGACAGTATTGAATTAATCTGACATGGAAGTAGTTTTGGTTGAGTCTTGATGGACTACTATCTTTAAGTTCTTATATACTCATAACAATGGGATTCCATCTTTCCCCATGGTTCTCTTTCAAATACAAGAAAACAGTTATTTTAGCTAAGTTTTCTGTCACGTAAACCGTAGCTCTTATAAACAATCCGAGACTTTGCAGTATGATTTTTACATACAATTTTATGTGTTCATAATTAAGTGCTTTATGATGGCTTATAAAGATAAACTTCCAGAGATCATCTTCTACCCTCTAGTATCTTTCATATTTGTCTGTATGTCCATGAATGGAGATATGGTAATATACATGTAGTTGACAATCAAATAAAAAGCTTCGTTGGTCCTTTAAATGTGGTCTCAGCCTTTTTCCACAATTTTTAAATCGACTAATCTATACCAACCAACCAGTCTGATAAGGAAGGGCAATTTCTGATAGCTGAAATGTCTGCATGCTGTATATTCTGTCGAACGATAGGAAACGGAGTCGTGCTTAATATTGTATACTCTGATTAATTAGCACATCTCAGTGGTATACTATAACTTTATAAAGTAAACTATATACATTTGTTGGTTTATATCTCTTTTTACGCATGATATTATTTATCAGTTTTTCTAATAGAATCTTTTCCAAATATTCCCAATTTCTCAAATAACGTTGATACAATAATTTACCTAATTATTAAGTGTAACAGGTAGATTTTACGGACAACTTTTTGTACTATAACTTTTAGGTTATATATTTATATAGTCATTTATAAATCCTGAGGCTTTTCTTCCCTTTTAATAATCGGTTAAAAAGGTATGATGTAAATATGCTTTGCTTGGTTCACATATATATTATGTAGTGAAGCACTCATATGTCATGTAAGTATTGTCTGTTTGGCTTTTAAACAAGTATGCTTTAATTTCATGAAATATTAAAAGTATAATAGCATATATCTCCTTTCATAGAAAGCAAATGGAGTAAAGGTTACCGTTTTTTCGCCAGTACTAAACGCCTCCATAAACCAGTCGGTGTATGCGTCTAAAATGCTTTGTAGTCGAAAGTTTCTCATCTGACATTTTTTGGACAAGGATTCAATCAGTAAGAAATGTTCCGGTACTATATTTAATATGAAATAGTTGGTTATTTACATTTCGATAGGAATTCATTATTACAACTAATCTGACATGCAGTAGTGATATCTGTAGATATTCCTAAAAACGGATTCTGATTTCTTTTTCTCAATTTGGCTGGTGTACATTTCAAGATAGTTAAGGATTTTAGTGGGATGAAAACAATGTTATAGTTAAATAATTTCATCTTTTTTAATGACTAATTTGCAAGATACAGATTTGCTTGCTTTTTCTTTG